TAACCTATTGCCGCCGGGGAAAGTGAACAAAAAAATGGGGGAAATGCAGTACTCATTTTTTATATTTTTGTGAAATATCTCTGTCCATAGATGGCTCTGCTAGTCCTGATTTCACCTTTCCTTGAATTGGCGGGAAAAAAGGCAGTACTGTAATTGGCTCATTGGATACTTAGTACAAGTGTAGCCATCTATGGGTAAAAACAATTGAACAAGTCGACTCAAAGTGGGCATGGCATGTACGTACATGCCATCCCCGGCAGCAATGGGTTAACTCAAGCATTAAGGAGTGGGTAGAAACAATGCCATAGTCAACAGTGACTGATGGTGGCATTCTATATTATATTATAATGTATTATATTATATTAAAGCTACTGGCAGCAGGGCAGTGGTTTCTGTTGAAAGATGGAGGTGATTATATAATATATGCATGTCAGATACCTGCAGATATACACACATTTCTCATTTCCAAAAGATAATACAAGGAAAATAAAAGGCTTTGTACTTTTTCTGCTTTGTATTATCAAAATATCTGTTTTTATTGGCACTCGCTTTCTTTCCTTTATTATTGGTTTTCTGGTCAGAACCTCCCTTTCCTCCTTTGGGCGTTTTCTTCAGGATCTGTTTCATTGCAAAATTGTAGAGATCCTTGTTGTTTTCCTGAAGGCTTATGACTGATTCTTCAAGCTCATTCTTGTAGTCTGGCCCCTTCTCCGGCTCCACACTATCAAAACTGATAAGAAAAAAAAAAAAGTTTTATAGGATGTAAATGCAATAATATACATTAAATATACATAAAATGTAGTCTGTTAGGTTGGCAACAATTGTTGAATGTTGTAATTGTCAGGTTTTTTCTTTTTTTGACAGAGAAAGACTATGTAAGTGGGCTGTTTGGTGCATGGATATGAAGAAAAAAAAAATTCATTAATATGAACGTTTTTACATTCATATTATGTTATGACCTTTGATATTTAAGACATTAGTTTTAACCATGAACCACAAGCATAAACTTATGAATCAAAAGTTGAGGCAGCAGAAATTTTTCAATAAATAAATAAATATCATTACCTTGATGGCAATGATGATAATGATTTTGATAATAGTAAGGATAATGATTATGACAATAACAATACAGATAATAATAATAATAACAATGATGATGGGAATGAGAATAACAACTACAATAATAATAATTACAAAGAAAATAATACTTGATCACTCTACCACAATCACATTTGGATTGTAGGTGATTTCAACCTCATGATATTGACTGGACCACTACATCCCCTTTTGACCCCATTGTTGCAAACAATGGGGTCATCCCCCAAATGAACAGGTGCCAACTATCCCCTTCATAACATCATGAATATCTTCTCTCTCAAAAAGAGTACTCAAACCACAGTAAACACAAACCACCATATGCCCTGCTGGCAAAGGAGGCCCTTTAACCACTGCCCACAAGGTAGACCTCTTCCTCACAAACACACTTCACATAACAAACCTCGAGAAGGTTCCAAGACTAAGTGACCACAATATTATTATTCTTGGTGCAAACATCTGTCCGACCAAGCAGAAATGTAGACATGGACCAATCCTGCTATTCTCAGGAGTTGACACAGACTCGATCATACTGGACAAGATGACTTACTGAGACAACTTTTTATCTTCCGAACCCTACTACCTACTACTACCTACTACCATTCATAACTGGAACAGCCTGAAACACTCCATACAAACTTCCATCAACAATCATGTACTACAAAAAAAGACCTTTGAGTAGGTACACAATCCCCTGCTTTTCCATAGGCCTACGCAGACAACATTGAAGAAAACAGACTACAGAAGCATGCAATCACACAACACACCAGAGAATTGGACTGCCTTTGAATCTTTACAAAAAAAAAAAAAAAAAAAAAAAAAAAAAAAAATTAGCCAAAAAACATAAAACAGGCTGAATGCAAACACATTAGTAAATATCTCACAGACAACATAAGAAAGTACCCTATACACTTCTTGAAGTTCTTCAAGATGTGCAGACAGGACACTACTAACATAGCTGTACTGAATGACTACAAAAACACTCTTGTCACCATGCCAAAACATAAAGCACACCAAATAACAGTTTCACTCTGTCTTCACACAAGAAAACCCTATTACACCAATCATGCCATGCAGCCCTCACTCACACGACACTTGACATCAGAGCAGATGGAATAAAAAAAACTACAGGAGTAACTGGACACACACAATTCAATTAGACCTGACAAAATCTCTCACTTCTTCCTCAAACCCTGTGCCCTCATTCTCCAAACCATGTTTACAAAATCCCTCAGAACATCCTCTCCCATCCCCTCACCTCCATTGTCTCCAAAATCCTTGAACACATCATACACAGACACATAATGAGTCATCTTGACACATCATCATACTAACTGACACAACATGGATTCCAACCCAAACAATCGTGCAAGTCCCAATTCGTTGTTATTCATCACAACATTTCCAGACTCTTAGACAGATGTGATGTTAAAGAAATAGATGCAATAATGTTAGGCTTCGCCAAAGCCTTCAGCGAAGTACCTCACAAATAACTGACACAAAAATGACAGTTTTACAGAATTACTGGCCAAACTCTTCACAGGATCCCAGCTTTTCTTTCTAACAGGACCAAATGTGTTCTTGACAATATTATATCTAACTGTTCCTGTCTCTTCTAGTGTCCTTTTCCTACTCTACATAAATGACCTCCTATTTCTATAGCTAGACTTTTTGTTGACGAAATCCTCATCTATTGACCAATTAATCCATTGCCGACGGGTATGCCATGCCATGCCCACTGTGAGATTACTTGTTTGATTGTTTTCACACATAGATGGCTATAATTGTACTAAATCACCAATGAGCCAGTTCACCCTTTTCTTTGATTTACAAAATATTTTAAGTTATCTTATTTTGCTGTTACTAATGTTAAAAAACATTATAATAATTATAATAAAAATAACACCATCGATATTGATGGCACTAGTGAAAAATATGTTTTTCCCGCTGTTTCAAATGAGGCACTACCAGAGCGATCTACGGGCAAACATTTCACAAAAAAAAATATAGAAAATAGGCACAGCATTTTCCCCATCTTTTGTTCATTTTCCCCAGTGGCAATGGGTTAAACCACCTGATGACTGTAAACTCCTCAAGACTGATCTAGACTCTCTTGAGCAATAAGAAACTACAATGCAAATGAACTTTTGGCCAGACATATGTAAAGTCATAATTTCACTCTTTCTCAAACACTTATTAAATTCCCATATTTAATTCACTCAACAATTATCTAATACACCATCACACAAATATTTAGGAATCACACTACACATCAACATGAAGTTTAACACAAACATAGACAACGTACAATACAAAGCTAATGGAACACTGGGTTTTCTGAGGAGGAACCTACACAGCTGTCCACAAGACACTAAACACATAGCTTACAAATACAAAAAAAATACCAGTAAATTAGAAAAGATCAATGCTACAACGGCCATGTTTATTACGAACAACTACACTAAAACTCCTGGCATCACAACATGCATCAAACAACTACATATGGACACCCTCACAATACATAGACAAGCATATAGTTTACCAACCATGCTCAAAATCACATTCAAACTGACATAAATAAACCTGATTATTTACACCATGCAAACACAATCAATACATGCAATGCACACAACCATAAATGCGTGACATACCACACTAATACAGATTCTCACAAACAACCCATAATTTCCATGCACCAATTGTGACTGGAACAGACTCCTACAACACAAAATACACAAGCAAAGCAGATACCTTCCACTAGTAACCCTAAGAACACATGCACAAAACACTGAAGCTTAGTCATCCTCACTCTCTTTTTCCCCCCCAACACCCAACCTCTTATATAAGGGTGATATGCGCTAACCCATTGCACCCTACACTAAAAAACTTGATTGAGACAGAGTAATAATAATCACAATAAAAAGAACTAGTAGTAGTAATAATAATAATAATAATAATAATAATAATAATAATAATGATAACAAAAATGAAACGGTAATAAAAAATATAATAAAAATTAAGACTGATGGCAATAATGAAAATACTAATGGTAATAAAAATAATAATAATAATCAACAATAATAATAAATGATGACCACTATGATAACAATATTAATATTAAGACAATTATGACAATGGTAATGACGATGGTGAAGATTACAATAACAATAACATTAATAACAACAACAATAATAATAATAATGTTGATAATAAAAGTAATGATAATAACTAGACAATTGTACAGCCAGAATATGAGCAGTAAACACATTGTACCTCCATCTCTCAAAGTTCTCACCCATTAGTGCTAGGTACTTTAATGCTCTTTTGTCGGTTTTTGTTCACACGTGGATAGCTTCACAACTATTTCATCACCAAGAAGTCAATTATTAGACCTACCTGACCTCACCTGATTATCTTATTCCTTGAATCTTTGTGTTTGTCTTTCTCTTTTTTCAAATAAAATACTATGACTACTATGCTTTTGTTTCTAATAATCATTACCATTAACCCTTTCCCAACGGGCATGGCATGTACGTACATGCCCACAGCGAGTTTACTTGTTTGATTGTTTTTACACGTAGATGGCTACACTTGTACTAAATCACCAATGAGCCAATTATGAGTTCTGCCTATCTTGCCCGTTTACCCTTTTCTTTATTTTATGAAAATATTTTACGTTATCTTATTTTGCTACTACTAATGTTTATAACATTATGTTAATATCATTATTACATTATGAACAATATAAATAGGTAGTAATGGATTCCTTGGTGACTAAGCACTTGTGGAGCCATTTGTGTGTAAATGAAATTAACCCATTGCCACAGGGGAAAATTAATAAAAAATGGGGAAAATGTTTTGCTCATTTTCTATATTTTTTTGTGAAATGTTTCTACATATAGATGGCTCTGCCTTACCTGATTTCATCTTTCCTTTAATTGGCGGGAAAATGTATTTTTTTACTAGTGCTATGAATATCGACGGTGTTATTTTTATTATAAACATTATAATTCCTATAACTTTTTCGAAAATTAAAGAAAAGGGTGAACGGGCAAGATAGGCAGAACTCATAATTGGCTCATTGGTGACTTAGTACAAGTGTAGCCATATATGGGTAAAAACAATCAAATAAGTAACCTCACAGTGGGCATGGCATGGCATGCCTATCGGCAATGGATTAATATACTAAAATTACTGTCAGTAGGACATGTATATACGCATTTTATAAATAAAGGACATATTCAGAATATTTCATAATTCTCTAACATACAATCATCTCTACAGTATTGTATTGGGCTAAGAATTCCTTTTTTACTGTTTTTAGCCTTTTCTTTTCACTTTTATTTCCTCCAATCCCTCTCCAACCTTCATTTCTGTCTTCAATTACAAACATTAAAATAAACAATCAAAACCTCTACCCACCACGGATCAGTAGCAAAATTGAAGATGTCCAAATGTTGTGGCTGTGGTTTCCCTTTGCCTCGAAGAGGAATATTAATTTCAGTATTGAGTGGATTAGAGAAGTCCTGACTGAAGGGAGCAATGACCTCCTCTATCTCTCTGTCTGCATCTGAGAGGGCCTGTTGGAAGAAAGTTGATGCATGATAGTGCTAATGGGAGTAATTAATAATAGTAATTAATATTATTATAAATGAATTAACAATTAAATAAGAATAAAAACATTATTTACAT